GCACCAGCCAGCCTAGGCTTGGCTTGGTGCGCTTGCTAGCCACCTTGCTAGGCCACATGCCCCTAGCACTCGGTTTGACTGGGGCATTCCGATGTTAGTGTTATTTTGGTAATTTTGTTGATTGATTAGTAATTTTCACGTCTCGTCATTTATTATTTTAACTCGACTTTCGACGCTCGGATTCGACGCTCCAAGCTTGAATTTTCGACGTCTAAATATTAATTACTCGGGCGACTCATTAATTCCTTTTGAACTAATTCGTCGCATCGCTTCGTTAGTTGCTTGGGTGTGACCCAAAGTGTTCAGTCAAGATTAAGCTATAATATTAATTATACATTAATATTACAGATCGGAAGCGGCCTCCACCTAGGAATTCTGATCACTTGACCTCACTGAATAATTAACTTTCTAATAATTCCGAACCCTCTATTGGATAGTACACTTATTCGAAGGACACCATTCCTCTAAGTTTTGGGGTAGGAGGGTTTTGGTTTGGTGATTTTTAGCGCCAAATAAGGCAGCGGGAATAGGAAAGAGGGAGGGTTCTAATGGGTCGGGTAAGGGAGGGGGAAGAGATGTGCTGGCGTTTGGCACGCGGCTGCGTTGGGTGAAGGTGGCATTGGTGGGGCGGTGGTGGCTGGGTAGTTTTAGGTTTTTTTTTTTATTTTTTTACTTTTATTCAAAACAAATAAAATGGTGACACGTGTCACTGTGACCCCTACTTAATAGAATTTTTTGGCGAAGACCGTTAATTGGTGGTAAAATCCATTTTTTTAAAAAAATTGTGGTGTTAAAATATTTTTTTTATGGGGGTGTTAAAAACCATTTTTGGGTTTTTAGCTAGTGTTAAAATCCAAAATTTTCGAATTATTATTTTAAAACCAATTTTCATCCTTTTTAATCTTCTCTAATTTATTTAATTACTTTAATTATTATACTTAGCTCGTGCTCCCTAATTACTTTTCTTTAACTTATTTATGATGTTCATGATAAATTGTAACAAATGGATATGTTTGGCAAAATAAATCAAAATCTAAGAACACAAATTAAAAATTCATCCAAACAATACATCAATTTCAACAAATCATCATAACAGTATACCAACTAATATCCTAATTTCATGAAATTATGACAAACTTTTATCCAAATGCATGTATTTAGCACAACGATAGAATTTGAATTTCAAAATTTACCAAAGAACAATTTAAAGAATATGGTACCGATTAATCGCCTAGGAGTTTAGGATTAATCTTCGTTCTTCCTTGTATACCTTAGGTGTTCTTCAAGGAGTAGTATTAATTTTACAAATTGGGATAATGAGTGAATAATAATAATAATAATAATAATAATAATAATAATAATAATAATAATAATGAAGTCATTTCCTTTGTATAGTAGGAGAAATTAAAAAAAAGGGTGAAAATTTGTTAAATATATTTGAATAACAAAAATATGCTTTTCTGACAAAATTTTCGATCTCTGGTGATTATTATGACATTTTTTGCACCGAACTTTATATTTTGTGATGTAGAGTGCACCCATTTAAAGTTGTATTATTCTTTACGCACAACCTATAATTGGTGTTATTGAGACTAATTGTGTCCAAATAAAGGAATGAAAAAACATTTGAAAACCAAGTCTTTAGCAAATAATTGGGCTTTGCCAAATGCTTATACTTTAAAAACTCATTCAAGAATCAATCAATACAAGTAGAATAACTTATTAAACCAACAACCAAAAAAAAAAAAACACTTGGTGGTTTATGGGGTCGGGGCAGTTTGTGTGGGAGGTTTTGGGGGTCGGCGGTGGGTTTGGTGGGGTGCTAAAGGACCGACCGGCCAATTGTTGGTGGTTAAGGGGGTGGTCGACCGTTTTTTGGCGAGGTAAGGGGAGGGGCTAGGGTTTGGCGGTGGTGGGTAGGTGGCTGGGAAAATTTTAGGTTTTTTTTATATAAATTTTGGGTTTTTTTTTATTTTTTTTTATTTTTTAATTTTTATGAATTAAGATAAATTGTCCAATCATATCATGACATGTATCATGATTAAATCCTAATGACTAACAGAATTAACGGCCGTTAGTCATTAATGGCACTCGGTGAATTTTTAAAAAACTGGGTGGCATTTGGTAAATTCTGAAAAGTTCGATGGCATTTGATGAATTTTTAAAATGCTCAGTGACATTTGGTGAAATATTCGTTTATTTTATCTTTGTTTTGTACTCCCTCCGTTTTTAAATACTTGCTCCATTTCTTCATGTGCGGAGTTTTAGAAGAAATTGGAGAAAATAATAATATATGGAATTAGTGGGGTAAGTGGAAGAATAAAAAATTGTAAAAAGCAAAAGTAGTGGAGAGAATTGGAGGAGAGAAAATATGTGGTGGGTCCACTAAGAGAGAGAAATTAGTTAAATATTGTAAATACTTTCCAAATAAGGAAATGGAGCAAGTATTTAAAAACGTCCGAAAAAGGAAAGTGGAGCAAGTATTTAAAAACGGAGGGAGTAGTATTCTATCTTAGGCGGCTTTTAATTATGTGATCTCTAGATTGCTATATTTTTATTGTTATATTTACTTACCGAAATTAATTTATTTTTCTTATGAATGAAATTTGATACAGATTTTTTTTTTTTTTTTTTTTTTTTTTTTTTTTTTTTTGTATTATTCAAATTTAATTTAGAATCTCATTTTTGTATTGTATACTAAATTCAAATTTATAATTATTTTTCTATTAAGATTTATAGATAACTCAAATGTCAAATAATTATTATTTTTGTATTGATTTCAACTTTATAAATTTTGCTTATATATCTCAACACTTTTTTTACAAATTTTTTAACTTTAAATATCGGTACGTATTTGTTGACTTGAATTTGACACTTTAACAATATAAAATGATTCAATGTGCATATTAGTATATGTTGACTCGAACTTACCCCGATTCGAAATGACTCAACTCGTACCCGACCTTGTAATACACTATATTTTATTTATTTTATAAATTAATATATGTATTTATAAATTATATTTTGAGGATAAATATAAAAGTATTTATAAATTGTATTTCGAGGATGAATATAAAAGTATTTATTTTATACTAAAAAGGGGCAATATATTTTTATAATTAATTTGAAACAAAAAATAAAAAGGAAAAATTGACATGTACTACCATCCAAAGCATTATGTATCACATTTACTACCCATTTAAAAAAGTATTTTTATATTACTACCACCATAATTCCCTAACTGTAGAAATAACTACCAGTAACTAACCCCGTTACTGTTTATGTTTGTGGGGTCCACACCAATGGCTAGTTTTTGCATCTCCCTTTTTAAATACTCTTCCTTAATTTTTTGCTCTTAATATGTTCTCTGCTCAATATTCAGTAGAATAATTGCCCCCAAAAAAACACAAATTCATTGAAACCATCTTAAAGGGATTTCATTGAGTAAGGTATTTGGAATTTAGTGAGTGAATTTGCAAAGATATATCAAGGGCAAAAAAGGTATGGTCGCTGTTCAATTTGAAGAATTTTGCAAATTAGTCTTATAATCTTAAATTAACGCTATAATTAGTTTGGATTTAGTTTTTAATAATGTCGTGTTTGGTAGAATTGAATTGAAATTGGGCTAATTTGTAGTTAAGTGAAGAATTGAAAATTTAGGGTTTGTTAGGAAAATTGAAATTAGGGTTTTTTTTTGTTGGGTGTGTTGACAATTTAGAGTGTGAATTAATGTGTTTGGTAATGTAATTGTTCATTAATTTGGTTGATTTGCAGGTAAGTATGTCTTTAATTAGGACTTCACCCTCTAAATACAAGAAATGTAATTGTGGCATTCCCATGGCAAGGTTGACCTCATGGATTGGGGATAACCCTAGGAGAGAGTTCTTGGCCTGCAATTTTTATGATCCTAACACAGAAACAAGGGGTTTCTAGTGCTTTGAGTGGGTGAATGAAGATGGGAGTGATTGACAAAAGGAAGTGATTAATCAACTACTCTTGGACAAAAAACTGATGAAGGGTGAGATGAACTCAATGCAAAGAGAAATAGAAGACCTTAATGGCCAGAGAAGGTGCTTGTTGAGTGAGAATGACAATCTCAAAGTGAAGTGCAAAGCTTTGAATGCTGAGAGGAAGAAATACTCAAGGGAAGGGCAACAGAACAGTGTTGGGTGTGGGTCTATTGCTGTGGGTGTTGTGTTATGTTTTGCTGTTGATGATTGTAGGAGTTTTAGTTATGCTTAAAAAAGTGTAGATTAGTAGTTATAAGTGTTATGTATGTTTTCTTAAATAAAGTGGGCAGTTTAAACTTGTAACAAATTCAATTCTGAATGAAAAAAAACTTGGTTTCCTAGACAACAAACATTCTTTCCAAGTTTCACAACATACTGGCATACCATTGCAAAGTTAAGTCTTGCATTGTTTACAAAAACTATATGTAGTAGTTAAGGATTACAGACAGAGGTTTAAACTTATAGTTCATAATTCACTAAAGCAAAAGCTAATTGTTCTACATAATTAGTATAATAAACAAGTTAGGCTGCTTTATTTTTGCCCTTTGCTTGCATTGCTTCTTGAAGTGGATTGCGGTAGTTGTTGTAGAGGATTGGGACTGTTGTGTGCATGCAGTAGGCTGGGGGAGGTGATTGGTTGGTGTTGTTGCTGGTTTTCTTATGGGAAGGACTTGTTGGAAATGCTCTATAGACCATCACCTTTTGCAATCTGTGTTGTTCAAGTTAAAAAAAAAAAAAAAAAAAGAAAAAAAGAAAAAAAAAAAACTTAATTAGCAAGATTGACAGGTCAGAGGATTCAAAGCAATGAACACATAGTACTTAAATTTCTTGTAGCCCTTTCTTCCTTTTTTTCTCCTCTTCTCTTGCAACCAAGGGGTATTAAGGACAGGCTTGCCACCCTTTTAAGGCACAGATGTCGATGCTACTGCTGTTGGTGGTGGTGGTTCAGTGCTAGGTGCATTACCACAAAGTCTTGGCATAATGGCCAAGTTAACCACAGTTCCTGCATCTTTTCTGGATTTTAGGGGCCTTAGGTTGAGTATCTTTGCTTTGTCCTGCTCCCTCTCCCTTTTCTCCCTTTTCCAGCTTTCTCTTCTTAGATTTAGGCCTCCCTGCTGGCATAACCTTAACTGGAGGAGGGAGTGGTTGTCTCATGTCAATTTTCTCCCAATGCTTTGGGCCTGACATAGGCTTTATAGCATCTTGATAGGCAAGAATGTAGGTTGCTTCTCTATAATATGCATCAACATAGTCATCTAGTTATGTCCTTTTGTATAGAATACATGCAAAAGCATGTACACAAGGAATTCCAGTCAACTTCCAATGATAACAAGAGCATGTTCTTTGTTGTAGGTCAACCACCACTTTATCCCCATTCAACTCAACCTCATCATAGTTGTCCCCTCTGAATAGTTGGACTATGCAATACCTAGCAACCTTTTCCATTCTCTCAAACACCTTAGCCACATAAGGAGTATCCTTCCCTTCCATTTTCTGAATTATTTCCCATTTCTCACTATTTCTCTTCATCATATATTTCCTCATCCACTCCATTTGAGTGAGAATGGGTTTATCCCTAGCATCCTTGATCACAGCATTAAATGTTCCACAAACATTGTTCAATATCATGTTTGACTTGCAAAAATCAGAAAATGCATGCTTAGACCAATGTTGTGTTGGTAAATTTGCTAAGTATTCATAGGCATCTTCTGACAGAAGTCTTATGGACTCCATGGCTACCTCAAAATCAAACTACCATGTAAAAAAAAAAACTTAGAACATGTGCATATAAAGAAAACCAACAGACAATAAACCACCACATGACAACACCAATTATTGACCCAAAACACAACACTTACCAGAATGGTGGCCCTAGCTGCATTCCAGAAGAGCTCCTTGAAGGTTAAACCAGTAAACTAGAGCTTGAAATTAGCCCATATGTGTCTCACAAATATCTCTTCTCAGCCATTGGTAAAAGCTGTTCAAATGCTTCCAACAGACCCTAAAAAAAAGACCAACAATCAAGGTTAAATTCAAAAGTGAAAGTAGGACAAAAAAAAAAATTACCTTCTGCCTATCTGACATGAAAGTCAGACCCAAACCCTCAGCCACATCACCAACATCATTCTTTAAACACTCCAAAAACCATCCCGAGGTTTCTTTGTTTTCCACCTCAGTTGTTGCCCATGCAAATGGAAATATTTGATTATTTTTATCCTTCCCTATAGCTACCAATATCAGAATTGGATATGAGCCCTTTAGATGACATCCATCAAGACCAATAAGAGGCCTACACCCTCTGTTAAAACCAAATCTCAATGCTTACAAGCAGCAGTACATCTTCATAAAGAGTGGTGGTTCTGGTTTATCAACTCCATCAACAACTATATACACCTTACTCTCAGGATTGTACTTAATCAGTGCTTTTCCATAATCCCATACCCTAGCATACTAAGTTACCTAAAACAATTAAACAAGGGCAAGTGCATTTTTTCATCATTAATGACATAGTAGTATATTTTAAAAATACAATTTTATGGATCATATAAATATTATAATATCCATTCTAAGACAAAATCACTTTTTACTCAAAGTTGTAACCACTAAAAGGTGAACCTAATTTCTCTCTCTTTATTCATTTTTTTCCCTTCCCATCTCCTTATTCATGGTGGCCAGCAACCACGTCCATTACACACCGCCTACGTACCAAGCCATCAGCAGTAGCATCAAGACATCAGCCACTACTAAAATTTGGTGATTTTACGACTGTTTTATTGCAACTGTTATAAAAACGGTCGTAATTCTTATTAATTATGATCGTTAAATAACCTGACGTAAAATTCTTTAATTGCGACCGTTTTTTATTTATTTTGCGCCCGTTGTGCCGGTCGTTGAAAGTATGTCATTTTTTAAAAGTCGATTACAAAGTCGTGGTATTTTCATTTTCAAGGGGAAAAGGGAAAAAGAAACATAGAAGAAGTCGAATGAGGGAAACAACGAAGAGAGAGGCAAAAGCGGTCACTGACTCCACTTGTTCTTCCCACCGACGAGCTATCTTCGGCCGGCGACGCTACACATAGGTATGTAATCTTAATTTTTTATTTTATTTTAATTTCGTTACTTTGTGCAAAAACCCTAACATTGGGTTACAAATCAACCCCCCAAGCAGGACCACCGTCACCGGCTTCCCCTCTTGTCCGTCCCTCCTTTGTTTTCTGACGCCGTACTTATGAGCAAATCAACCAACTTTCCCGTTCAAATCATGATAAGGACCTTTGGATATCATTTTCATTCTAATTGTATCTTATGCCATGATTATAATGAATACAAGTTCAGTGTGAATGATTAATGTGATTTGTTTTTCATAGTGTTGTAGAATTTGTCACCATGAAAAGGAAAGAGCGTTGGTGGATGTATGATAGATACGATGGCCGTAAACTTAGGCAAGAGTTTGTGGATGGTGTTGGACAATTCATACGGTTTTGTGAGGCTCATCCTGAGAGCCCGGACATAGATGAAGTAAGATGCCCTTGTCTGTCATGTAAGAATAGAAGACTTCATGATGCAAACACAGTAAAACTCCATTTGTACAAAAAGGGGTTTATACATGAATACTATGAGTGGGTTTCTCATGGTGAAGGGTTCCCTACATCAAGTGTAGAGCACCCAAATCCTTACCGTGAAATGGTTCTCGATGCTCTTGGGAGTAATCATGAACCATCAGGTCACGATAGTACTAGTTTTGTATGAAGAGCTAAATGCTCAAGCAAAAGCATTTCAAGAGCTTTTACAGGCTGCCGAGCGACCACTGTATGAAGGTAGCTCCATGTATGTGCTAGAAATGGCATCTCGAATTGTATCTTTGAAGTCGGAATATAATTTGCCCCATAAGTGTGTTGATGGGTTTGCTTCATTACTGAATGAAGCGATTCCCGACAATAATAAGATGGGGAAAACATTCTATAATACAAAGAAGATTCTTAACGGAATTGAGCTTCCGCACGAGAAGATTCACGCATGCCCAAAGGGCTGTATGTTATTTTGGAAAGTTGATCCTAAGTTGGATAAGTGTAGAGTGTGCAAAAGGGACAGATACAAGAGGACTTCAAAGGGGTCATTGGTTCCAATAAAAGAACTCATCTATTTTCCCATCACTCCAAGGCTACAACGGTTATTTGCAACAAAGAACGTTGCGGAGGAAATGACCTGGCATTCCAAAAAACCAAGAGTCCAAGGCACAATGGCGCATCCTAGTGATAGTGAATCTTGGAAGCACTTGGATAGATCCTTCCCCGATTTCACATCTGAACCTAGAAATGTGAGACTTGGTATGTGTACCGATGGGTTTGCTCTTAATGGCAAGTTTGGGGGTCATTACTCATGTTGGCCAGTCATTTTGACCCCTTATGACTTGCCTCCATCAATAAGCATGAAAAAACAATTTTTGTTCCTTTTTTTTCTCGTTCCTGGTCCTAAAAATCGAAGAGGAACTTGGATGTGTATATGCAATCGTTAATTGAAGAATTGAAACAACTGTGGGCTGTTGGTGAAACAACTTACGACATTTCACAAAGAAAAAACTTTAATTTGCGTGCAGCAATCTTGTGGACTATAAGTGATTTCCCAGCCTGTGGTATGCTTTTTGGATGGGAAACCGCTGGTAAAAGGCATGTCCATATTGCTTGGACAAATTAAAAGCTTTTTGGCTTGAACATGGTGGTAAAATGTTATGTTTTGATTGTCACCGCCAATTTCTTCCTCCCGAACATCCTTTTCGAAAACAACAAAATTGCCTTTTATAAGAAAAAGGTTGAAAAGGGGACACCGCCTCACATAATGTCCGGCGACGAGCTATATGGCAACAGATGTAATACCTCGTATTTTTGTACGTATTTTAATTAAAATAAGTATTTTGAGAAGTATTTAATTAAATTGAATTGTTTTATTTAAAGTATTTTAATTATTTATTTTAAATAAGTTTGAAAATAATTATAAAAGGAAAGTTTATTTTATTATTTAATTTAATTATGTTAGGGTTTAATTTAAAGAAAGTTTTAATTTTGTAAAGTTTTATTAGGGATGGGATTAGGAAAATTAAAAGAGGAAAGTTAGGGAAAAAGGGTTTGTAGAGAAGGGGTATAAATATCCCACTTATGAGGCAAATTAACTTTGCCCAGAGTGGAGAAAACCCAAGGTAAACTTCTCTCTCCTTTCTCCTTATTTTCTTTCTTTTTCTTTCTCCTTTTTCCCCTTCCCCTTTTCTTTTTTTCGGCTGATCCTCCCACCACCACTGCCGACCACCGGCAGCAGGTGGCCGCCGCCGGCAGCATGCAGCCACCGGCGCCGGCAGCCGGCGTGGTGGCTGTCGTTGCCATCCTCCTCCCTTTTTTGAATGTATAAAAAAAAAATTAAATCTTTATTGTCAAAAACTAATCTAGGCTTAAGTCTAATTGTTAATTATGAGTTTTGGGATTTGATTTTGATGTTTGATTATAAGTATTATGCTAATTAATTTTCAGATTATGTTTTTATTTAAAAAGCCCTATTTTTTGAAACCCTAGGTTCTTGATTTGTAATTATTGAAGGGTTATGATGTATAATGATTTAGACCTTTGATTAAAGTGTTTTAAGGCTTAATTATTCCAGCAAGTTTTAATTAAAATATAGTGCTAAAATTTTTAGTAGAGTATTTAAAATCAAGTTTCTTTAAGGAATTTTAATTATCCATTAATTGGGAATAAATTAAGATGTTTTAAATATAATTTCAGCTTGTTTTATTTAAATTATGAGGGGTTTTATAATAGTATATATTGCTGAAAATTTGTGTAAAGTGGATTTTAATACTCTTCAATAATTTTAAATTGTAGGTGACTTTGAAGTGAGTGATTTTTATTAGTCGTGACGATTCTAAGATCGTATACAAGGTACGTTCGCGTACTTAGCATAATTATGTTAATATAATTGCATGCTAAATGTTTTTGATTGATTACAAGCAGTATCATGCTAGGTTTGGATTGGAAATTATGGTTTGGATGTTATTGGTGATTGGATTATGAAGCATAATTTATTTGTGATGGATTATTGAATGGAAATTAATAGTTTGGAATATTATTTATGAACCACATATTTATTTATGGCATGTTAGAGAGCATGTTTAATTAAACTAAATGTTTAATTTAGTTTGGAATATTAATAAGGAATTTTATTATGGTTCATATAATTTTATTGATGCTATAAGCATGAGGAAAGAGCTATATAAGTGTCTACGTACACGAGGAAATTTTTTTTGGTTGTGCCTTAGTGCACTTAAGGTGTTTTTAACACCGAGGGATAGGATTTATGGCGCTGTAGGGAATATTTCAAGCGTTAATCCCCTAGCTTGAACCCCACTGTGATCATACACTAAAGTATGGTGGCGTCCAAAGGGAAAGAAGATAGAGCAAAAGAGTCGCCAACAAGTTTTTTTAGGAACTTGTAAACCGTTCACGAGGTGAAGGTTACACCCCTTAACGATCCAGGAGATCGTCAACTCCAGTAAGGTCTTGAACCAAATAGGATTCGGTGATGAAGACACAAATCCAACCTAAAAGAGATTGAACCTGCCCTAATAATAGGCCTCTACTTTATTCAGATCGTACTCATGTGCGCTTTCTCACTAACATGCAATCATTAGGTTTACCCTAAACCTGTTTATCTATGTTGGTTGAATATTAATGCACAAATAAATCTATAATTAGCGATCACTTGAATTATAATCAAATTAACCCTAAACAAGATTATTAATTATCTTATATAAGCGTGATTACAAGTACCAAATTCCCTTTAAACATGCATAAAAGGCGTGATCAAGCAATAACAATAAATATATCAAGCAACATGATCATAAATAATAAATTAACAATTATTAAAATAATTATAATATTCATTTTAAAGAATAATAATAGCAAGATCCTAGGCATGATACTAACAAGATTAATAACAAACCCTAACATGTCACTAAACAATAAAAATCAAATCTTTAACCCTAACATGATACTAACGATCATAAATATTAGGAAGAACATAGGAAGCATCATAACAATCATACTTAATATTAAAGTTACCCTAGACATGATACTAGGAATATCATAAAAACAACCTAAGCATGATTTCTATATAATAACATCAATAAAAAGCATTAAAGTACTTACTTTGATGTCTCGTACCTCTTTCTAATAACAAAATACACACGTTAATAACTTCAAGGAAAATAATAATTAAAACAATTAAATCAAATAATTGAAATAGAGATTTGGGACCAAACCCTCAGAAATATCAAACCTTTCACGTTTAGGGCGAAGGCAACTTCGAACTTGGCTAGGTGTGTCAAGTGCTAATGTATGAGGAATTGTGTTTGTAAAAAGCTAGGCTTAGAAAGAGAGAGAGAGAATTAAGAAATTCTTGATGAAACTTAGTGAGAATTGGTGAAAATTGATGAAAACTGATGATG